CGAATCTCTCTTTCTCTCTCTCTCTCTCTCTCTCTCTCTCTCTCTCTCCCTCCTTCTCTCTCCCTCTCCCCTCCGTTTTGTTTACACTGCGCACTCATGCCTCCTTACTTGAAATAGCCATTATATCAACGAGAGACGTCCGGTTTCCCGCAATAATTATCAACACCAGGTTAGCTTACATAACAGTTCTTTACCCCTACAGAGAGATGATCTATCATCTTCTTTCGCTTACCCACCCCTCCCCACCCCACCCCACCCACTTTTTCCCCCACTGCACCGTCATTTACTCTGACTTTGGGCGTGAGTGGTTGACGGGTGCTCTGGTGTGGTTTGCTCCTTCTTTCCTATTAACATCTAATATCCTGGTCTCTCTCCTCCTTCTTTTTTGTTTGTTACTCTCTTATAACACCTGCAATCTTGGGCACTTATGATATATATATGACCTTATTGTGTTGCAAGTGCCGTAAAACTCTTACTAAAACTACCCCCCTCTTCCCCTTTCCCCCCACCGCTCCCTCATTCACTCTGACTTTGAGCAATAATCAGCGTTTGTGTTGTAGCCTAGACACTCAGAGATAGATCACTTTGTATAAGAGCCAAGGACCTTACAAGAAACCCTACTGTATAACCTCCTTTATAAGAGCTTGATAATTATAGGTTGTAGCGGTTACATTAGGCGCTTTGCCGTCGCGCGCTCCAGGCGTGAGTTCGATTCCCGCGCTAGGGAGATTTTCAACTGGCATAGTCTTTTTTTTTTAATAGTAGAGGGTTTTACGGCGCTCGCAACTGCATAAGGTCATAAGGCATAGTGTGAGTAGCCCGCCTCCTAAATTATCAAAATTGTATTGGAGAGTGGTAGAACCTTTACAATTACACTTTTCTGACTTGATTGGCTTTCATAATTTTCTTTTAACCCCCCCCCCCCCCCCATGTTTTTATTTCTCTATCCTGCGTTTATTGTTATCCTCTTTTATTCATGTTTATGAAGTTTTTTTGTTTGTTTTTTAACTTGTTTTTTTTTTGTAGCTGAAAGGCAGAAAGAGTTGTGTATGTGCGTGCGTTGTATGTGTATGTGCGGTGTTTGTGTGTGTGTATGTATGTATGTCTTGTGTGTGTGTGTGTGTGTGTGTGTGTGTGCGTGTGCGTGTGTGTGTGTGTGTGTGTGCGCGCGCGTGTGCACAGGCACAGCTCGGTTCACGTACAGTAAACAGTGTCGTGAGGGAGGAGATACGATCTATGTTGGTTTTATTTGTGTGTGTTGAGGGGGTGTTGCTCGTCTTAATATCTCAAAAACTGCTTTTTTAATATAGCAGACAGCTCGGCGCATCCGCTCTTTGATGTTTGTTTTAACTACCGATTTAGCGGAGATGTCTACTTCTATTTATATACCAACTGCCGATTTCCACTTCCTTTAGCTGCAAAGACCAATGATTAGAAATACCGGGCCGCCTTGCTTAACTTTGGGGGGCACTCGAGGTACATGTACTTCTATGCGTGATTAGCGGGTGCTCTGGTGTGGTTTGTTCCTTCTTTCCTATCAAACATCTGTCGTTCTGATCTTTCCTCCTTCTTTTTTGTGTTTGTTACTCTCTTGTAACACCTAATCTTCGGCTCCTATATGACCTTATTATGTTGCAAGTGCCGTAAAACTTACTAAAACAAACGTGTACGTGTGTGTAGTGGCGTGTACCTTACAACATCAGTCTGCTTGCTCTTGGGAATTGGCCACCCGTGACGTCAGGAGCTGTGGTGAATTATCGCCTCGGCCCGGGGTAGATGGATGGCCAGTCACTGTGGTGGTTAGGACAGTTCTGTGGGTAGTTGGCGGGCTCCTTTTTTCCTATCAAGCATCTATCGTAATCTCTCCTTTTTTATTTGTTACTCTCTTGTAACACCTCTAATCTTCAACACTTACATGACGTTATTGTGTTGCAAGTGCCGTAAACTCTTACTAAAACTGAAACAGACGTGTACGTGTGTTAATG